CTTTTATAATTCACACCCTTGGCGTCAGGGCACGGATTATTAGCTGTGAACGACAAAGTCGATGGTGCGTGTTCGAATCGACGGTGACAAATTTGATAGTGTACGATGGAAGTTTGGAGTCATTACGTTCTGAAAACGTGACCGTCAATATAGACAAATTTACATTACTCCTACTTCCGCTGAAGAAAGCAGAATTATTTCCAGTTTGGCCAGCGTTGGCAAGCCGACCACACCGACACTTTTCGTGGCCTACATGACCAAGAGTCACTTCTCAGAAAAAAAAACAGTAAAATGATTTAACCTGGTGACGGGGGGACCACTGCCCGGAGGCGAAATCCATCCGAAAACGGACAACGCTACTTGGCTGGTTCTGACATAGCCACATCGGGGGACCACATTTTGATCCCGAAAGAAATGAAAGCGACGCCAGGGCGTTTTTTAGTGAATTCCGCTTTATCGGCGGCAATGAGAACGATATCAAACGGTCAACTTTGACACTGTTTATTTTAGTATGCAATTACACCAAGCCCCCACCGTGCTTTTTTTCAGACCATCAAACGTGTTGGTCGCAGCTGATAATCTGTCGTGACTTCACACGTATGAAGTTGAACCACGGTGGACTCCGCGCGTGCTCTCGTGCTGCTTTTGTTTCTGCGCCTAGGGAGCGGTAGGGATTTTTCGCCCCTTCAGTAAAGAACGTCAAAAAGGTGAACGTATCTGTGGGTTTGAGAGAAAAAGAAAACTTCGCGGGCAATCTTTCGGCTCCTTCCCCTGTGTCGTCTGTGTCATAACAGAAACAATCTTTGTGTTTGACGAGTTTAGCGATCCATATGCTCGAAATCCTCGATTTTAAGTTTTTTTTAGCTGCCGAGTTTAATGATGTAAAAATGTCCCAACAATGCAACTTTAACCTTTAAATGGACAATCAACTACAGGCGTCTCTCTAAGTTACTCCATAACAGGGTTGGGCAGTATTGCGATACATATGTAATCCGAGAGTGATTAAGAAATATATTATGCATTTATATTTCTCTATCACGATACATTTTTCAACTGTACTTTGCATTTCTGCATATTTTCGGGTGTGTTCTTGCTATCGCTGTACTATTAGGATGTACGTGTCTTGTGAAAATTTCAAAGCTAATTGTTGTCCTCCGCATAGAGGGTCCAGAGTCCAGACCAAGTTTGGTCGTGGACGTTTTGTCTCTCTGACTGCACATAACTCTCTTCTTTATTGTGCAAAAGACGAAAAATGTTTCCCCACACTTTAAGTGGTCGACCATTTCATCGGATTCCAAAATTTGACGGCTCTGTTGGCGCGTCCAACTGACAAATAAAAGGATACGGGTTCTTTGAACTTCATTCCACGGTTACGTTAAAGGGTCACGGCTGAAAGAGGCGTCCGGATTGAACATAATCTTAGTGACTTCTCAAGATTATCTAGGAGGACACAAATCTGATTTAGAGATCCCTAGCATATTGTCTCAGAAAATTAAGAGAAACCAAAATAAAACAACGGTCGAGCCACGGTGAAACAATCGCTTGCTTCCCGTACTACTTCTCAAAATATAATATGTTAATTGTGCGGCAAATTCGATTCGAGCTTTATTTAGCATGCAACATGCAGTGAAAACTCGCTTGCTGGTTTAAAAACAAAATCGTCAATTCTAAAGCATTTTTTCTTTTTTCTAACGCCTTAGGGCTGCACCAAAACATCCAAAATGTTTTTTTTTCTTTTATATATATATATAACAACGGATGTCAGTGTCTGTATTTTAGCCCCACTAAAATGTATTCTTGTATTTGAGTTTTTAAATACCATTCTATTTTTGAAATGTATTTCTAATAGGTATCGTGCTGCATTTTTATAAATGTATTTCAATACCAGTATTTTAACCGGTTTTACCATAAGGTATTTGTATTTCGAAATACCTTTGAGAGCGTTATTGACTAGCCTTTCTTCATAACGACAATTTCAATATCGATGCAAATAAACACATTTTCCAAAAATGTAGAAAAATCTATTGATTTTTTTTTTCATAACAAGAAATGATTGTGCAGGTTGGCAGCGCTGGTAAGTAAACGGTGCGTCACGAGAGTCGTCGTCGTGAAGGCTACGGACGCCATAAAGTATTCCCGCACGCGCAAAACGAGCTGCTGATTTCGCGCATTCATAGCAAGCCGGCCTTCTGGCATCGGTCAAGACCGTTCAGACGCGAATATACTCCGTTACAGTTTACAATGGACAGCAGCGGACGCTACGAGTCATTCCAATGCCGTGTCAGTGTCACGTAACCTCTTAGCCCTACTGAAAAAGCCATTTGTATGAGATATGTCTTGTCTTCCAATAAACACATATGAATCGTACAATATATATAAGGGAAGACCTAATATGATCTTATATAAGGGCTTGCCAGGATGGCGGTTGCATTCCTCAAGTGGCATGGCCACAGCAAAAAGGCCGCGCGTCATACAAATGATTGACGGCGCGACGCCATCATGCTGTGGGGAGAACGCGCGGCAGACGCCGGTTTTTGCGGTTCAAGAGAGGTTGTTTGCACGTCTTATAGAGATATCCGAGTGGGCCTAACGCCGTGAAACATGAATACAACAAGAATAGTTGGCTCCCTCCTGCTTTGCAGACCAACGCACAGAGAGAACAACACTCAGGCTAGACTTCTTCCCATTTCTAAGTATAAGCAGCCTCCCCTCCAGCGAACATTCATTGCGCATAGCCCCGCGCTGTCCGAGGAGCCTAGGCAGAACGTTCTTCAAAAAGCGCGCTGGCCGTCGTCAAATTCGCGAAGCCGTGCCCCCCGCCGCCTGTAAAGGATTACTTCAACAAAATTTAAAATATACCCGTCGTATTCAGAAATAGGCTGAATATGATCCACAATATCCGTAAAAGATAATCGCAGGTTTGTATTTTGAACCTGATGGCTGTATTTGTCGTTATAAACGGCCCACTTTGGCAACCGCTTGGAGACCAGCCAGTGGAGACCACGTGACATCCGCCGCAATCGTGACGTAGATTGTCTTGGGACGAGCAAAGCTGCGGCGATGGTGATGTCGAGAGGATGTCCTAGCTGTTCCAGCCACAGAAGCGGCCGAAGCACGCCAGCGATCGGAAACCGCATCTAGTCCCAAAGCTGCTTTTGTACGAATTTTGAGTGACGGGTTAACCTTCTATAATCTTGGACAGAGACAATAGCGACGTCTGAGACACACAAACGAGAGTCTCGGGAAAAGGGAAGCTCCTCCGTCCCCTCTTCTGTCGTGGTGGCCGGAGGCGAGACAGTTCTCGTCGCTGCGTGTCAAGGTTCCTAGACGGGAATTACAAACCAGGCGTAAGTGACATCCACCCGGTGCTCTTTGCTAATCGTTTAATTCGTTTTAAAAGTCCTTTTCGTGTCTTTTTCAACAAGAGATCGGTGTGATACTGCTACTTTGAACACAAATAGACCAAGAAATAGGCACCCAGCTTTCATCGTAGTAGCCTTTTAAAGAAATATTTCAACGAAATTTGGGCGGTTACTTATTTCTTGATCTATTTGTGTTCAGTGTAGCACTATCAGATCATGCACACCAATCTCTTGTGAAAAAAATACAAGAAAAGGAATTTTAAACCAAATTAAACGACCAGCAATAAGCACCTGGTGGATGTCGCTAATGCATCGTTTGTAATGCCCGACTAGGAACCTTGAAAGGTAGTGACAATAACTGTCTCGCCTCAGGCCACCACAACAACGAGGAGAAGGAGGACCTCCCCTCTCCCCGAGACTCTCTTTGTCGCTATTGTTCCTCTACAAGATTATAGAAGATGAACCCGTCACTTAAAATTCGTATTAAAGCCGCTTTGGGGTTAGTTGTGGACTGTGGTGGGCCCGGTCGCTGGCGTGCTTCGGCCGCTGTGGTGGCTGGAACGGCTAGGACATTCTTTGTTCATCAGCCTCGCCGCAGCTTTGCTCGTCCCAAGACAGTCTACGCCACAATTGCGCCGGGTGTGACATGCGATCCGCTCGCTGCTCTCCAAACGCTTGCTAGAGTGGGCCATTTATAACGAAAAACACAGCCACTCGGCTCAAAATATAAATCTGCATTGTGATTTATGGATATTGTGGATCATATCCAGCCTATTTGTGAACGCGACCGGTATATTTCAAATTGTGTTGATGTATCATCTTAAGAGTCCTATCCCGAATGGCGGCGCGAATGCACAACATCGCCGCTAGCACGTCTCGCAGCATCTCACGACGACCGTGACGCTAGCACGTGGAGACGCCAAGACGGACGCGTCTGCAGCTTTGCGGGGTTTCTCGACAAGCTTTAGCACGTTGGCGGCTTGGGGTGTGTCTGGGTTCACTAACGACGACGTCTTCTGCAGGTCTCCTCTTCTGTAGTCCATTGCAACTCAAGAAGGTAGGATGAGGGAAAGGAATGCTGCAGAGGAGGAATCAGACGGAACGCTGGAGAGGGGAAGGAGGTTTCCCCTCTCCTCTCCAGTTTACCGTCTGCTTCTTCCTCTCCAGCCGTTCTCTCCCTCTCCCTACCATCTTGAGCTCCAACTCACTATAGGCGGTATTGGCAATAAACGCGCTCTAAATCGTGAAATCTAGGGTGCCTCAATGTTTTTCTGTTTTGGGTGATGCAATCGTTTGTAGTACCCGATGCCGACAGCACGCGCTCACAGGCGAAATACAAAGAAATCGCAGGAAACAAAATGTCGCCGTAGCACAGTCAGCGCCACGAACACGTGAAGTGACACGCTCTTTCACGCGCTTCAGAACAAAAACTAAAAGTAAGCATTCGAAACAAAATGGCCAGATGTCATCACCCCAAGCAAAGCGCACATGAAGGCACCCTAGTGAAGACAACACGCTCGTACATTCACACACCAATAATAGCCACCAAATTTACGTGTTCATCGGTCAGTAATCTCGGTATGTATACAACTCTGGAACACAAACAACTCTATATTCGGAACGCTAAACGTAACTTACCTGATTGAAAAATGCCAACAATGTTTTTTATTCCGGAAATATATGCTTCCTGAGTAAAGTTACCATATATGTCCACATAAGTGCGTGGCAGAAATTGTTCTTTGTACGCAGCTCTCAGGGTTTGTGTTTCCACGCTTCCCAAAGTGTTCGAACTGGAACTTCTGAAAGCGAACAGGCATATGGGTAGTTTAATCCCCTGCTGCTGTGCAAAAGTATCTTTGTCGAAATTGGCCAGTTAAAAGCATATTTTTCGTGTATGGCTCGTCAAAATATTAAACACGGGAGGCAATCAGCCATCTGCGTTTAGCCTTCATTTCGCACTCTTCTTGTTCACGTTCCGCCCATTGAAAAGCACGCCGGAAGAATTCAAATACGCACCTTATCTTACTAAAGCCCTCTTTCCTTCCGCGCCATGACGCCAAGATGAGTGTGAAAAGTTTACCTCGAGGTAACACTGCAAGGATAAGAAACACATCATATCGAGTGAAGACATCGCCCGTAAAGTTCCTAGATAAGAGCTTTCTACAAGTAACGGCATTTTTTTAAGCGCCGACTGCGTGACGGTGCATTTTTTAGGAAGCGAATAACGTGAACAGCGCAGGTCGGAACTGAATGACGCCATTTTGTTCCAGCGGAATGTGCTTTATCATCTGTATTGGTTGTGGTTACTTCTAAAAGAAGTATTAAGGGACTTCAGTCGCCCGTACTTGTAGCGAAAGTCACTTTACATGTCTTTGTACCTGCATTGCTAGGCTGCCAGTCAGAACTCAACTTCACTTTTTTTTACTTTTGTTACCTTTTTACATCGGCGGCAGAACTTTATCACCTGTCTGTATTCGTAGTTGTCCACTTGAGCGGCTCCGAATCAAACCGAAACATAGGATGACAACTAATGACGGCAGAATGCTACTTTCCGAAATGAGATGTGAGTGCCGTCAGTATGACCTGTCGCGTGCACATGAGATGTGCCCGCTTGATTGCTCTCCCGGCAAAACAAAAGGCCCCCAGAGAAGATGAGCTCGTCGAGTGTAATCAGGTGCTTCGACCGAAGGCTCTCACAGACCCACAGGCTGCTTCTAGTTTTCTCCATGGTAAAGTGAACTAGAGGAAGGGTAACGAGCTCAGCAAGCGCTCACGCATGTCGCACATCGTGTCGACGACACAAAAGGGCGCCACTAAAGCATAGGCTGTAGTAGTGCTTGCATCAGGTATAGCATTTGCAACGCTACTGGCGTTGTCGTCGCCGTCGTCGTCGTCGTCGTTCTTGTCGTTGCAATCGGTTCGCCATTGCACTTCAATCGACATAAGCGACAAAAAACACGGAAGGAAGATCTGAAGAGGAGCCGAGTTCGCGCTGCCAAACCGCTGAGCCAAACCTGCTCGCGAAGGCCTTCGGAACGCTCGGATCCTCCAACCCATGCTACTGCAGAGCCGCTGCGTGCATTCGCGACCTTTCTACGCTCGCCACTTCACAGCAATGCATGACGTGCGTCGGTGCCTGATCTCACAACCCCTCCTCTAGTTCACGGTATTTGTGGTTGGCAACGTTACTAAAACCACACAGTTGGGAAACTGCCATAGAGTCTGCTCTGAAAAAGTGGCACCGATTCGTACTCGAGAAGCGAGCTAATGGCGATCGCAACGGCCACTAGAGGAACTGCACGGGTCTTCTATTTTTGCTTTTGGCGCCGAAACAGATATGGTGGATGAGGTTTCAGAGGGTTCACCCCCTTCTCCCAAGAGGATGCGCCGCGAATTACTACCGAAGTTAGGATGCGCCTAGGTCGGGACGCGCAACCTGAAATCACCGTTGAGGCATGGTTGTATAAAGACAATATTAATTTTGCCGCAAAAACTTGCAAACTAAAGATTTTAGAAAAAAAATCACGAACGCATTATTTTGTACTAAACTCAAATATAAGTTACTACGAAAAGAGTTTTTTCGATTGATTTTTACGCAAAAACATGCTTTTCTAAAAGCTCAAGGTGACCACAGTAAAGACCAAGGATAAGGAGTGACGCTGTTGTCGTATAAAGCTCGGTCTCGGTCACGGTGGAAGAAATACATTTAGCTGATGATTCTCTGCCCGACGCGGCGACCACATTATGTTAGGCGCACCGAGCGCGCATCACTCGCCCGAGGATAGATGGCGCCCAAGTTTACAGGGCGTCCCACCAAAAAATGTACGTTTTTTTTGTTTTGTTTTTTTTACCGCAAAAATGATCTGGGCATCGCCATACGCTCATTGTCCGCCCAAAGGTAGCGCTAGATGCCAAAGTTTCAGCCCGATCCGATACCTTATTCAGAAGTTGTAAATTTTTGAAATTTTAAATGGGAAAATGGCGGCCGACGAAGGTTTTCGAATACATGGGGCTCTATGGCACCAGAAACCCAAAAGGGGCCAAAAATGGGCTCCATTTTTCCCATCGAAAATATCAAAAAATTACTTATAACTTTTGAATAAGGTGTCCAATCGGGTTGAAGTTTCGGCATCTGGTTGTGACCTCAGCGCTACCTTTGTGCGGAGAATGAGCGTTCGGCGATGCCTAGTTTATTTTTGCGGTAAAAAAAAAACAAAACAAAAAAACCCTGTATTTCTTTTTTTTGTGGCACTCTGGAAAGGGGCTTATGAAGGCTTTTATAAAGCAGTGTTGTACACGTTCCTAAAAAAAATGAACGAAGTTTCGTTCCTCGTTCCTTCTGATTGTTGGAACACGTTCTCGTTACAAGCTCCATGTGTGAAAAAGAACTCGCTCCAGTAACAGTTATAAAATAGAACGTATCGTTACATATACATTACATTTGTATTTTCCTGATTGCCATATTTAGTTAGATTAAGCAAAGTTTTCTTTTTTTATCTATCCCATGAAATGGGAACATACAAATTTGAATGTCGTGATGGAAGGGCACTGTTGTGTTCACCTAGTTTCGATTTCCACTTCATCTTCTTCACAGTGTTGTAAATAGTTCGATGCTATCATCATACTTCTCTTCTTCATCTTTCTTTTCTTCTATTGGCTCAATCTAATAAAAGAACAGTCTATCAGAACGCTCGAACCAGACTGGCTGCTCACTTCACAGTGGCCCCGTAGCCCGGGACACAACATACATTTCTGGCGACGAGGAGTTCCTGGACCCGATTGTCTTCACCGGCAAGACATCGGCTGCGCCCTTGGTTTCGTCGGCTGGTTCTCGGCGAATTATTCTGTTCGTCCAGCCGCGTCCTTCGGTCGTCCCCAGCCACATTCAAGATGGCTGTGCTATAGAACGGCCTCCCTCGCAAGCAGAAGGTCATCATCCCATGATGGCGACGTCCGGCGGCAGACTTCCACCAGAGTTCTTGGCGAAACCGGGTAGTCCGCCCATTCCATGGAAACGTTGGATACGCATTTTTGAGCGATATCTTCTGGCTACTGGCGCTCGAGATTACGACGCCGAACGTCGGCAGGCCATGCTGCTAAACTGTCTCGGTGAAGCAGGCCAACAGATATTCGACTCATTACCAACGCCCGAGAGTGCTGTTGCAACGGCGCCAGCAACGTCGGCAGCAGCAAGCGGCGAACAAACTCGCCGTCCACCGGCGAGAGACATCTACAAAGAGACGGTGGAACTCCTGGAAGCAGAGTTCACTCAACCCGTCAACGTGGCTCTGCAACAGCTGCAATTTCACCTTCGTAGGCAACAAGAGGGTGAGTCCCTCAAGGACTTTCTGTCGGCGCTGCGAGCCTTAGCGATTCCGGCAAGTTTTGGAGACCAAACGCAAGCAGAGGTCAGGAAACAGTTCATGATCGGCGTCGCGTCCTCTGAAATGCAAGAGCGAATGGTTCTAGATGCCGCTCTTCCATTCGACGTGGTCCTTCAGACGCTTCTCAACATTGAACGTGCACGACGTGAAGTTCGGGAATGGACAACGGCATCGACGCCTTCACCGAACTCTCTATCGACTTGCAACGTTTCCACCGGAAGTGCAGGCTTCGAAGCAGGATCGTCGACAGAAAGGAGCTTGAGACGGAATCATACACCACCACCGTCTTCAAGAAACTCATCACCTCGAGAGTCTTCCCGTCGGTACAGTTCTCGCTCTCCCGCAAGGAGTGAACGTGCTGAGAGCCGAAGATCGACTTCTCGAATCACGCGCGACGCACGCGCGCCAGCTATTTCGCCCTGTGCCACCTGTGGCGGTACCGGCCGAAAACAATCGTCTGGAGGTGGACCACGACGGTCTGGACAGCCAGGTCGTAGGTCGGTCCAATTCACATCTTCGCCTAGCTCGTGGCAAGACCAACCCCCAAGACGTAACGATCAGAGAATTTATGGACGAACGTGTCCGAACTGCGGACACGGGCTGGAACGCTGCCAGAGTTACGACACGTGCCCAGCCTAGGGTGCCTTCATGTGCGCTTTGCTTAGGGTGGTGGCATCTCGCCATTTTGTCACACACGTTTATTTTTATTTTTGGTTCAGAAGCGCGTGAAAGAGCGTGTCCCTGCACGCGCTTGTGGCGCTGACTGTGCTATGGCGACATTTTGTTTTCAACGATTTCTTCATATTTTTCCCGTGAGCGCGTGCTGTCGGCATGTGGTACTACAAAGGGTGGCATCACCCTAAACAGAAGGACACTGAGGCACCCTAGCCCAGCCCGGAACCTTTACTGTTACAAGTGTGGTCGTCGTGGTCACTTCGGCGATGTCTGCAGAAGCACGCCCCAGGGCTATTCACAACGGCCGCGGCACAAAAAAATCGAACAGATTCTGTCGGATGACGACGACGACGATGACGAAGACTCAACGCTCGTGAATTATATCACGGGATTGTGCAAATCACGAATCTTCATTACGGTAAAAGTCTTTAAGACGTCACTACCGTTCTTGCTTGATACAGGATCGTCTGTTTCGATAATGGACAAGTCCACATTTATACAGCAGTTCGCAAGCGACGCCAAAGTTGTGCCACCCCCTGTCACGTTGCTGAATTTTTTCCGCGAGCCCATCAACGTGTTGGGAGCTTTCACGGCCACTGTTACGTTCAAAACGAGACAGGCACAAGTGCTGTTTTATATAGCGGACAGCGGTAGGTCGCTACTTGGAATGGACGCTGTGGTAGCACTGGACGTTCAAATGAGTGGAGCAGCCAGAACATGCTTCTATACCGACGCTGACGAGCCTGATGAAGCGTCGCGACTGCCAGACCCTCCTTTGGTATCTGAGAATACTACTGACAACACGGAAGGTCGACAACCAACACCTTCCACATCTACAACTCATGCAACCTGCCAGTCCGACGACATGTCTGCAGCGCTGCAAGAAGAGTGGGCGGCGCGTGCCATGCCACAAAAACAAGCGGCAGTAATTCTGCCTACCGCATCCGCACCGTCAATGCAGTCCAAAACTTCCAGCGTGTCTCGCACGTTTTAATGACCTCTTCACCCCTGGCTTGGGTCGAGTGAAAGGAAT